TTCTTCTTGTTTTAGATGATGTTCATGAAAAAGATCAACTATACACATTTCTTAGAATACGAAATTGGTTTTTTCCAGGAAGTAGAATCATCATAACAACCACGAACATGCAATTGTTGAAGCCGTATGAAGTTAAGATATATAATGTTGAGGCAATGGATGATTATGACTCCCTTAGGCTCTTTAGTTGGCATGCTTTCGGGCAAGGCCATCCCATTGAAGGTTACTTGGAGTACTCAAAACAGGTTGTACAGCATTGCAAAGGGCTTCCTTTGGCTCTTCAAGTTTTAGGTTCTGCTCTACGCGATAGAAGTGTGGATGTATGGAGAAGTGCATTAAAGAAATTCGAAGCAATTCATGACAGCAAAATGCAAGATAAACTTGAAATAAGCTACGGGTGTTTAGAAGATGACCACGACAGAGATTTGTTCCTTGAGATTGCCTGTTTCTTCGTTGGAATGGACAAGGCTTATGTAGTTACTATACTAGATGAATGTGGTTTCTTTACAACTGTAGGGGTTCAAAATCTTATGGATAGATGTCTCCTAACAACAGATGAGCATAACAAGTTGATGATGCATAAATTGATTCAGCAGATGGGAAGAGAAATTATTCGGCAGTCAACTAAGGATCTTGGCAAGCGTCGAAGATTGTGGCATTATAAAGATTCCTTTAAAGTGTTGAAAGAAAAATCTGTAAGGAAATTATCTTTTTATGTGTATATACGTGACTGTTTTTATCTGTTACCATGTTATTACCCCTCCGATGTTTTTCTATTAGGGCACAGATATAATCGAAGGCCTTGCTCTCAATATGAATATGCTTGAGGAAGATAAGCACTGCATGAGAATCTTCAACATTAACAATTCATATGAGGCCAACTTGGGAACCGATGCATTCACAATGATGCACAAATTAAGACTCCTACAAATTAATTATATACGACTTATTGGAGGCTACAAAGAGTTTCCAAAGAACTTGAGATGGTTGTGTTGGCATGGGTTTCCTTTGAAATTTGTGCCAAGTGATTTTCCATTGGAGAACCTGGTTGCCATTGATATGCGCAATGGCAGCTTAGAACAGGTATGGAAGGAATGCAAGGTATGGTACTGGCTACTTTTGCCCTCCTCTTTTTACCTTCTATTTTTAGGGTTTCTAGGTTTTCATGTCTCTAACATATGCTTCCCCACTTGTTTTCCCTTCTTTCACAGGTTCTTAGGTTATTAAAGATCCTTGACCTCAGACACTGCCATGCCCTTACAAACACCCCTGATTTCTCATGGCTCCCTAATCTTGAGAGATTGATCCTAAAAGATTGTGTAAAATTGGTTGAGGTTGATGGATCAATTGGATATCTTGGAAGACTTGTTTTCCTCAATCTGAAAGATTGCAGAAATTTAAAGAAGCTTCCAAGAAACATAGGCATGCTACAATCAATCAAAATATTAAATATTTCTGGTTGCTCAAATCTTGAAGAGTTGCCGTCAGAGCTAAGAGAGATGAAAGAACTTAAAGTGCTCTATGCCGACGGAGTCAACCTAAGCCTATTACCCTCAATTACCACACAGAATACTTCTTGGCTTTCATTCATGTGGTTTGGGAGATCTAAACCAAGAAGGCATCCAGAATTAGCAAAGGCAATTTTGCCACATTCTTTAGTGACATTAAGTCTTCAAGGATGCAACCTATCTGATGGTGATTTTCCTGAGGATTTTCAGAGCCTACCCTTGTTGAAGGTGCTACATCTAAGCGAAAATTCAATCCATAGCCTACCAGATTGTGTCAGAAGTCTTAATAGTCTCGACACGCTCCGTGTAGATTCATGTTCAAAGCTGCAAACACTCACAGGGCTACCCCATATAAAATACAACTTATTTACGAGCGATTGCCCGTCATTGGAAAAAATAGAATATGCATCATCTTTGGCCTCTGCACCATGGTTCGACTTAAATAAATGCAAGAATCTAGTGGAGATGCAAGGGCATTTCAAGTTAGAACCTGTATCAAACATTAGTGCAGAAGTTATCAATAATTTGCAGTTGTCCAACATAGAATCCCTCAGAAGCACTAAGGTGGAATTGTTCAATCAGTTAACATCAACGACAAGCAAACTCCCCATCCAGGTGCTCTCTCTCTCTCTCTCTTCCCTCCCCCAAAAAAAAAAACTGCTTGGGTGCAGCTGTGAAAGTTGAAAATTGAAATTATAATTTTCATGGCATAGGTGCTGTCCGAAGATGGAATATTCAGCATATTTCTTCCTGCAAGCGAAGTTCCAGACTGTTTTGACAATAGAAAAGCAGGATCCTCAATATCTTTTACTGTCCCTTCAGCTCTTAATCTCACGATTCACAAGCTGAACATGTGTTGTGTTTATGCCATGGATGAAGAAAAATTTTCGGAGAAAGTAGTAATTAAAACTGAAATCAGTAATGAGACCAAGAACAAGGTGATCTATATGCCAACATTTTGCGGAGTTCCAGAACCAGATGAACATATGATGTGGATAAGTCATTGGAAGCTTAGATTTCAGTTCAAACCTGGCGATAAACTGAGTGTTTCAATTTCAATGGGTAATGTAAAGGTAAAAGAGGTTGGAGTCCGTCTTGTGTACGACGAGCAGGAAGACAAGGATGAACAATCAAGTAGTGACGTCAACCTTACACCTGCATCGGTATATGGGGACACACTTGTGTACTACTTTGGTGATCAACCGCTCTCATTGCGTAGGGGGAAGTCAGTACTGTCCCCAGAGGTCTTCCTTTATTTACAGCAATCTCCATGGAAAAAGAAGACAAGAAAAAGGAAGAGAAATTAAAAAGAGGAAAGAGGAGAAGAAACAAAGAGCAAATTTGTAGTTATTCCCTTTTTGTTTTCCCTTATCATGTGCCAATCAATAGAAAAGGAAAGAGAAATTATAACTTTTCCCTTCCTTTCTCTTCCTTTGTCCTCCTTCCAAACACTCTGTACTAAGCATTTAAAACACTTGAAAATCAGCCTTAACTTCACCGTTTATATTCTGGCCCAAATTTTGTCCATGTTTTTCTTCTATCTTCGATGTGCAATCTTTCTCCTATCTATTTCCTTTTCATGCCTTAAGTGTACTATTTTAGTTCAACCACACACTTTAAGGAACATAATTCATCATTCCCCCTGGCTCATGAGGGAATCTGGAGTCTGCTATTGTTGCATATTAACAATCGAGGCAAGACAATAATTTAAAGATTACAGTGAATCTTCTGCAAAAGAATAAGGAAAAATTATAAATATATAATTGAAAAAACAAATGGTTGAATTGCTGGTAGAGGAAGAAAGGAAACTATTCATTGGTGACAACAAAGATGGTTTTCACGAAGACACTTGAGTTGGCGTGCATCCGATAACAAGGAGGCATTTCCACTTCAAAGAAAATGCCACATTCCATCTCTGCAATTAGTTTTCTTTAGTCAAACCTGCTTTACTAGAGACATTGCCATTCCACATTGGAATTTTCTAAATTCAAAGAATCACTGGATTTGCAGTAGTCATTTATTAGATCATAGTATCATGGCCTCACATCCCAAAAGCTTAAGGTGTTAGGTGGAGAACCGCCCAAAATCTTGTTAGTTCATATGACACCCTCTACCTAAGCGATGTGGGATTGGTGACAATAAGCACCTACTTAAGAAGGAAAGAAGAACTATTTGCATGCATGATGCCTCTCAAACACAAAAATTAATTCATTGGAATAGTTCTAATCCCCACCTTGGGGCTTGTTAACGCAACAAGAATTTTCCTGGACTACCCTGGTGCATATGTGAGGGTGCAATTATGCAATCTAGGGTCTACTCGGTTCAATTACGACTCATGGAGTCAAAATTCCTCGTCATCCAAGAAAAAAATCCTTTTTCTGAGTGTGTCTTTAGCTTGAATAACAGAACCACTGTTTTAAAGTCTACTTACGGTACTTTTTGCTAAGAAGCTAGTTTAACTATGACAAGGGAGTGGAATCATGTTTGTGGGTCTCTTTGAATGTGTTTCCAATGAGAGTTTTATGATAAAGGATTTCCCAGAGAGACTTAGAGATAACAGTTGGGTAAGACTTTGGTTGGGCAATGTTATGCAGAATTTGACTGCTATATAAAGCATGCAGGCACATAGGATAAGGAATTGAAATGGATAATTAAAAATGATTCAGTGCAAATTGCAGCCAATTTGTTCCTATGCGTACAAGACCCAACATTGAAGTGTGGGGGATGACTGGTGGAGGCATGAGTAGACACCACATTTTTAGTTTGGCAAAAGAACACAAATTATGAAATGGGAGAGCAGCATAAGGAGACTCTAATATGGGATTTTTCCAACCCCCCCCCCTTTTTTCCTCGTAATGCTGTCTCTTGTGTGATATATTCCATAATAATTTCAATTACCGATATGGGAGAAATTCTTAGAAGTTCCAGAGCTCAAAGCAGACCAAGCGGAACTCGTGGTTTTTTATCTAAATAAATGCATACTTAATAAATAATTTCAAATTAAAGAGTGGAACTTCAGCTTTATGCATACTTATCAAACATTTTGGTTCAATTCAGTACTTAAATTTTAATTTATACCAAACAATTTGCGAATTAAAAATTCAAAGTCAGTGCTTAAAATTTATCATTCAATTTTCATTTTTATCAAACACTAATTAAGAGAATTATTTGTAACAAGAACTAAATTGAAATATTTTTGTTTAGTAGAAACATCATTTTAGCTATGCTTCTATATACGCAAAGACTTGTGAAGACAACTGGAAATTTTGATCAGCAAGCATTCTTCACAAATTTTTGCCTTCTTTTAGTGATCAACCCAATTAGTCTTTCCTAGGTGAAACTTCCAGATGACTTTAGTGCGATTCTGACATTATTAATCTTCTCTTCCTTTGTACCCTACCTTCTTCTATTAGCACTACTGGATACTAGTAGAGAGAGGGGGGGGGGGGGAGAGAGAGAGAGAGAGAGAGAGAGAGTATGGAGTAAGCATCTTTACTTGCAACGGTAGAACTTCTGCTTGTAGAAGTGACAAATCACTTTATCACTACCAGCGACATCACCCAAAAAAACCCCTTCTGTTCTGTCCTTACACTCCCCGTGCCCTTCCTTCTTTAATGCTTCTCGCTTCTCAGCTTCTTTCTCCTAAACAAATATAAAGCATAACATCATTTCAATTATCAGAAAGCCTACAACAAATCAATATAATTGCACGACGCGGCACTTGAAAAGACAGGAGCCCAGGATTACAAACCTAAAAGGCCTCGATCCTATCTGAATGCAAATTTCCAAGATCTGATCCTAAAATCATCTAAAGAAATTAAACTAGTATGAAAGACATAACTAAATATCAAGCAGGATGCAATAAAGTTGCATTCTGATATCTCCAACTTACTTACATCCACCAACCCATCAAGATCAACCTCCTGATTATCAGATATATATGCCTGTCCCTTCTCTTGAGCCAGTAATTCTTAAAAACTCAGGAGATACCAAAACATATGCATAGAAGAATATATCGCCAACTACCGGAATAATTAAAATCACCCAAGAATTCAAACAAGGTTTTGTTCCAATCCAGTAAGAGTGAATTAGTCTTAGAACTCTCCAATGGTATGACATGCTCTTTTTTCCATTCATTCCCTTTCATAATCAGTTAATTTTCCCCAGTCATACAACTTTTTCTACCACTAAGACAATTCTGTTGCTTGTATCAACTTTTGAGGAAACAAACGGATAATGACTGAATATTCAAGTATCCATGCGTTGAATAAGATCTAAGATCCATCTTCTTGACGTAAAATTCATATTAAAATACATGTTCCACATTACAAAAGAAGCAATCACGGTGGCAGATCAAATCAATAAACTATCGTGACCCTCTCCAGAGCAAGTTCTTGTAGAGTATCTTAGTTTCTCTGCACAACGATGATAATAACTGGTTTGAGAAATTTAGTGACAGATAATAAAAATTTCAGGCCTAGAAATGTGCACAATTTTAAGCAGGTGAGCTGAGATACAGAGACAAGTTAGAAAGATATCACAAGAGGAGGAATCAAGAAAGACAGAGATAAGAAAAAGATAGAGCTATTTGCTTCTCCTATTAGGTCTCAAACAGTTTTAAGTCTTACAATCTCTCACACATTTCATAGTACCTAAGCGGATTGTGTTATGTCCATTTCATGTTTTCAACAGGATAATCCTTCACACTCTATTGTGAGTATCCAAAGCATATGTAAAACATTGGGAAGAGGCAATTATCAACAAAAACCATGAAAGACAGAACCGCATTGAGAACAAACATGACCATACCAGAATAATTAATCAGTAAATGTACCAAATATATTCCATTGTGGTAAATCAAGAAGTATATAGCAAAACTTCAAAATTGAAGAAAGTAGACATGAGAATATGCAAATAAAGAACACACCTTTTGATAACCACGAGCTGCAGCTGCCATTCCATTTCCAAAAGCTAAGTTGGACTTGGATATAGTCAATTTGACTGAATTCAGATCCATTTCAGTGTATACCACTGTGAAAAATTAACACACACCAACGAGACAAGGATTATGGTTAAATTTTGATAGCTCAATGACTAAAGAGCCAGAAATATAATCAAATAGAACCATTAACTACACCAAAATCACGAGTAAACAAATGATGATCATTTAAACTCAAAACAAATCGACAACTTAAATCCTGAGGTGCTCAAGTCAGATAGAACTAGGAAAATTGTAAAGGCCTTACTTCGAGATCTCAAATTGAAAAGCAGCCTTCAGAACCAACGCTGCTGAGTGAAATGTCTCTTCCCTAAGCAGCTGGTGCACAAAAGGGCCAGGAAGTTTAACCTGGTCACACGCCAATTGAAGTTCTAGTTGATTTATGCTTGGTTTCACATAACTACACTGGTTTTTTTTTTTATTTCCCTTTCCTGTGGTAAAGGAAGTCAGGATGGAGATTACCAAATCCAAGCCCAGCTTACGAAGAACCCACATTGAACCCGAATTTAATCCCATTCAAATCTCTATTTTCATCCATTGAACTCAAGCTTCATCCCAAATTTAGGACTCAAGTCCAATTGGAGTTTAATAATGTTAACATAATCAATACACGAGTTGAAAGATTCAAATTAAATTGGGATTCAAACTGAATTTACAGCAAAAGATTTTTTAAAATTGCAACTGAGTGCATTTGACTTCTTAACTTTTCTTAGACACATACATTGGTGATGACAATTGAAATGTGACAATACAAAAATGGAGGATGGCCTACAATGATTCAATTTAGGACCTCAGGGATTTCTCACCATATTTTTCATGGGATTCTCTTCTCTCTTCCTTTTCTATGCTCAGATTATTAGAGGATAATAAAAGGAAGATATAGTAACATCTGAGTCTATGTACTTAATTGCACTGATAGGGTTCATGAACATACCCAGAGTAAGTTCTTCTAGACTTTGAGTGGTCCTACTTTCAAAATTCAAGTCTAGAGAAATGTAAAATTTGAACAGGTGAGTTGAGATATAGAGAGTATCGCGACAGGAGGAATCAAGTAAAAGAGGCAGAGACAAAGAGACAGGCAGAGCCATATATTTCTACTCTTGCTCTCAAACAGTTTGTAAGCCTACTTCAAACGTTTCATAGTACTGCTAAGTGGATTGTGTTCTCTCATTGTATTTTTTCAACAGGATAAATCCTTCACAATCTATCGGGCAAGCATCTTAAGCCTATCTAACAATCTAGGATGACACAATATCCAACAAAATCATGCAATTAAGGTTAAAAGTATCAATCGATACTAATAAAAGTCGGTTGAGTCATATCCGACTTAGTACCATTCTAGTCGATACCGTTATACGTTACATATAAACACCGAGTCTCGCCCGGCTCGGCCTAGCTGTCGAGTTGTTTCTGAGTCAATTTTGAGTTGTTGAATTATAGTCACCGAATTGACAAATATGGTTCCACAATGCCACGATATAACTTGAAATTTATTGCCAAGTTCAACTTGTTCTTTTCGGTCGTATTGAATGCAACTCTAGCATGACCCATTGACCAATGTGTCTTAGAGACCTTCAAGTTAACGGTCAATATTGCGATCTTGAACCATGCATGCAATACAGAACCACATAAAGAATCACATGAACATACAATAATAATCGACCAGTAAATGTACCAAACAAATTTTCCATTGCTGTAAATCAATAAGTACATTACAAACTTGAACTTTCAGACAGTAGACATGACAATATGCAAATAAAGAACACACCTTATTCATAATCACAAGCTGCAGCTGCCATTACATTTCCAAATGCTAACTTGGACAGAGTCACTTGGACAGAGTCAATTTAAAAGAATTCAGATCCATTTCTGTGTATATTACCGTTAAAAATTAGCAGATACCAACAAGACTTTAGGAATTTAGTTAAATTTCAAATATTCAATGACTAAAGAGAAGGAAAAATATCATCAAATAGAACCATTAAATACATCCAAATTACAATTAATGATCATGTAAACCCAAAACAAATCAAAAACTTGAATCCTGTAGAGTTTAAATTTGATGGAAACTAGGAAACTTGTGCTCAGATTTGGGAAATCCGGTGGATTTCTCACTGGATTTTCTTATCCCTTTCTTCTCTATGCTCAAATTATGAAAGCAGAATACGAGGGAGATATGGTAACATTTGAGTCTATATACTCAATTGCTTTGATAGGGATAATAATTTTGTTTTAGCTCTAGCTCGAATCGACATTAAGAAAGGTTTAGCCCATGCCACAATGTCTAAATTAAATTATATGATGTTAGGCCTCGAAAGAGGTTACTAAATGACCACATTACCAACTGATACATCTTCATAAGCAAAGAAAGAAAGCAAAAGCGACTTATACAGTTTACACGAGCAAAATGGGAGGATCTGAGCTATTGAATTATCAATCTTGATGCCTTGACTAATAGGCCTCAAATTTACAAGTCTGGGTCAAGCCCAGTAAGATGAAAATGCAGGTTCAACATTTGAAGGCAAACTTGTTCTCATAAATTAAGAAATACACCAACCAACACCTGCGCAAAGATCTTCAACGTAGCTGGAATAACCATTTTTTTAACAACCCTGCCTTAAAAATTGTTGTACAACTCATCCATAAATATACAGCGCTCTCATTTTCTTGTTCACGGCATCCGATGTCTTCTTCCTCTAGTGGATCTTTTCATACAGTTCCTTAAGGTTCTATTAGCAATTTTCTCAGTTTTCATCCTTTTGGCCTCCTTTTCAGCTCCACTAGTTTTTTTTTGCTTGTTATCATGGGCTTCAAGCGCCAGATTTTTTTCCTCCTCAATGTTATTGGCTTCACTTTTTTTTCGCTTTAGGAAGTTAACTACTTCACCAAGAGCTATGTCAGCATCGTCGCTCTTCATTAGCTCCTCAGCAATTTCTGCAGGGGTCGCCTGTACATTCTCAATTAAGCTTTCAATCTCACCAAAGAGCCTGTGGGGATCGCCCAGGCCAAGGTAATTCGTAGCCAAGAGCCTAAATCCTTGAGTTGTACAGTAGGACATGTGAATGTGCATGTCCATTCGACCAGGTCGAAGCAGAGCAGGATCAAGGCGGTCCTTATGGTTGGTTGTAAAAACAATGATCCTTTCATCTCCACAGCTCGACCACAATCCATCTATGAAGTTCAATAGCCCCGACAGTGTCAACTGCATTAAGAAGAATTTAAGTCTGACATTCTAGATTCGATGTGTAGAATTAATCGATTTGGATACTAAACCCCTTACACTTCATAAATATTTTTAAATAACTCTGATCGGACAAAACATAGTTGACAAGACAGAACCCGTGGTAAACAATTAGAAATTAGACAAGGAAATAATTTTGGGTATGACATAATTTGGAAACGGCACAAAATTATTCTGAAAAAACAAAAACCTTAAAAACTAACCTTGGTGTTGGAAGAGTCATTCCCCAACTGCCGCTCTTGCATCTCGGCACTGCAATCGATGTCCTCGATCACAATGATCGACCGATTCGTAGTGGACACCAAAATCCTCCTCAATTCCGAGTTCGAGTACAAATTTGTAAGCTCTAAATCATATATATCAAACTTCAAATAATTCGCCATCGCCGCAATCAAGCTCGATTTCCCAGTCCCAGGAGGCCCATACAACAAGTACCCCCTCTTCCAAGCCCTCCCAACCTTCTTGTAAAACTCTTTTCTCTTCACAAATCTCTCTAAATCATCGATTATCGCCTTCTTCATCTCTTTATCCATCGCAAGAGTCTCAAACGTCGACGGATGCTCCAACTTGACCGAACCCCAAACCCCACCTCCCCCACCCTCATCATAATCGTATAGACAATTCATGGCATAGAGCTTCACTTCCTTGTCATTATCCTTTATCTCCTTGTACTTAGCCAGAACAAAGGGTAAGTACTCGCTCAACACTTTTTCTTTGAATTTCTTGTCAAAAGTGAGCTCGAAGAATCTTTTTTCTCCAGTATGCCGGTCCTGAGGCTCAACGGAGACGAATCTCCATTTCAGCTGAACGTTCTGGTGGGTATCGTCTACCTCTTCGTTTTTCTGGATGCTGATGTTGAGGTTTTTCTGTCTCGGAGTTTTGTGAACTTTGAATCGCTCAGCGTTGGGGCTGATTTTGGTGCCGAGGTATATCTCTGCGGCTTCGTAGACTTGATTACGAGTGAGTCCGCAGTGCTCGTCGACGATAACGGTGAGCTGAGTGGAGAGAGGAGTGAAGAGGTAGTGAATCGCCGATTGGATGTAGGATCGGACTGGATTGGGGATGATCTCGTTGGCCATTGATCGGACTAACATCATCGACGCGGCAAGAGAGGCGTATGCCGAGAACAGAGTCGACGCCGATGATTGCATTTCTGAGAAGCCAAACATTTTCAGATTATTTGAGATTGGAATCCGAAAATGGAAATCAGAACTCGGAAATTTGCTCGAGTGTGTGTGACTTAAGATTGGGGTGTGAGAAACCGGAAGTTAAATAGCCACACCAGAGGGGAGAGAGAGAGAGAGATTCGAAACGTCGCCTGCAAGGAAACAAGCTTGGGAACTACGCTTTTGGCAATTTTGACACACGTTTTATTCCACCTTCGTCGGTAAGTCTTGCCTATTGGGGGACTTGTGCATCGATTCAAAAACAATTAATTAATCCATAAAATTAAGTTTTGAATTGGGCATTAAATAGGAAGAATTATATCATGTACCTTAAAAGATTTAAAAATTTTTATTTTAAACCCTCAAAGATTTAATTATTTTTTAAAAATTTGGACACACCTTTTTGAATTTACTATATCTTCAAAGATACTTATTTTAGTATTCGAAACATCACTGATACCATTTTTAGTTTGTATTTAAACATCAGTGACACTTCGTACCATTAAACCATTATTTTTAATAAAAAAAATTATCAAAAATACAAATATTACCCCTACATAACCCAAAAATAATTTTTTTTACATAAAATTTGATTAAAATTTGAACCAATTAATTTTTTTTTACATATTAAAATTTGAATTGATTAAAATTTATTTTTCTAAATATTAAAATTTAAGAAAATTAAAATTTGACCGAGTTGATTAAATTTTATTTTTTAATGTATTAAAATTCGAATCTATTAATTTTTTTTTACTTATTAAAATTCAAACCGATTTAAAAGCAACCTAAGCAGATAACGTCGATTAAAATTCGATTTAAGTTGATTAAAATTTATATTTTTTTATGTATCAAAATTCGGGCCGATTAAAATTCAATGTGAGTTGATTAAAATTTGATTCGATCTAATTAATCGGCTTGAATTTTAATACATACAAATAAATAAATTTTAATTAACTCAAATTCTGATACGTAAAAAATAAATTTTAATTAGTTCAACTTGAATTTTAATACGTAAAAATATTAAAAAAAATAGAGAGGGTCTTATTGAATATATGTCTATCTAGAGGGGTGGGCATTAAGTTTTTTTAAAAATATATTATGAACAATTTTATAAAGTTGCATTTTAGTGAACGTCATTAATTTGATTAGGGGTGTTAGTGAAGATTCAGAAAATAGGGATTGTCCCTGAAGATATGATAAATTAGAAAGAGTGTGACTGATTTTTTTTTAATTTTTTATATTTTATTTTTAATGTATTAAAAATGTTGTGATGTGATCTTTCTGTTAGTTTTCGTTGCCCATTCCGTCAGCATCAATGAATTAATTTTTTTACAAAATAATAAATGAAAGCTAATGAAAGAGTTACATTATAATACTTCTAATACATTAAAAATGTAATGTAAAAACTATAATAGTTAGAGGTACAACGAAAAAATTCTTGTATCTTTAAGCAATAATTAGTGCGCTAGACAACGCTAATTCAATGTTTGAACTTAGAAGATTCATTTGACGGATTTAAAACTTTAACAACCAAAGTCCTATAAATAATAAACATCATGGACTATTGGTTCAATATGCCCAATGATCTATATTACGTGTCTCGTTACAGATTGTGAAGCTAGCAGAATGTGAAAGTTCCCATTATAATTCAGATTCTTACGCTAGTCAATATTTGGAGTGTTAGAGTATTTTAAATTAAATAATATTTTTTATGTGAGAATTTAATCTCACATCGACTAAATTTTTTTAAAAATATTTTAGTATATATATATAATAATGTTATCTAACTTTTGAGTTAAAATGAGATCTTGAAACTCTCATGTGTACAGGTGTTGGACAAATAACAAAGATACAGAATTTACGAAACACTTGCTAGCCTAGTCCACACCCCCTGACTCGCCTAAATGAAATAAAATATTAATTAGTATTAAACCTACTTTTTAATATTTTGTTTAATTATTTAAATTCAATTTCTAACGACAAGTTTTCCGACAACTATTTCTCATTAGTTATTATCCGTTTAAATATGAGAGTAATTACAATATATATATATATACATATTTTAGTATAAAAAATATACAACATAAATATCTACTACATTCTCTCTATTGCTGCATAAGTTTTCAAGCAATATTGAAAGGTTGTCCAGATCTGAGTTAAATAATAGTCAATAAGCTGAGCTATTGTATCTTGGGAATGATGCATTGCTACCTTCCGCGTTATGTTTTTTTCATAAATGAGTGCGAATCATCTAAATAAAACAATCTAATCCGCATCTCACTCATCTGTTTACTTTATCTTTCAGATTCTATTTTCCCAATATGGAGTGCGCAACCGTGTAAGGTTTTTATTTTTTTAGGTGAAAAAAGCGGTGGGGCAAAGGAGAGCGTCCAGAGATCATCCCTATAGGTCTTGATTGGCGGGATCATGAGGCCTTTAACCGCATCCGTTATTTTTCTCTAGAACGAACCTAACTAGGCTTACATAGCAATTAATCACTGAGCCCTAATGTTAATTCCAAAATTTAAACTTCCAACCTTAAAGCAAAAAATTCGATCGATAGCCAATGAATTAGTGGTTAGCCATGTAAGATTTACTTTGAAAAACATGTGAGTAACTTGAGATTGTGACTAATATTGTGAACCCAAATTGGGCTTGAATTAGATATCCCGATTTTAACCTGAACTTGTCCAAGATTAATTCGGACACTATTCGGATTGAATATCTCGGCTTGAAGTCGAATTAGAGTTAAAATAAATGTTGAAGATTTTATACCTAAAATTATGTTAGGGTTGATTCTTTAATCTGCCCAAGTTACACCCATATACAATATGTATAACACGTTATTAGCATGAGTTTTTAGTCAACTAGAATGACTAATTACTACTATAGTCTCTAACTAATTGAGAAGGTTGGTAACTACAAAAATAAATCGTTGGGAGTTAAATTGAATATTTACATCTTAAAAAGATGAAATCGTAATTAATATGGATGAAGTGTAATTAATAAGGGAGAAAGTTGCAATTATGACATTGTTGTCGGTAAGAAGACGAAAAGGAAAAAGGAGGTGGATCCCGCATGTTCCCCATTTTTTTTTTTATTGGTGGCTCTATTAATCTATTATCTATATGGTTATTATATATTGCAAAGTAACACAGTTACTGCTAGCTTTATTATACGAGGAGGAATGTTAGGTGTACCAAAGCCATGAGGGACAGTTTCTCCTATATGTTGTGTATGCAATTATGTAATAAGATCTAAATGGCATGTCAATGGTCTATATTGTGTGCAGAGGTGGCAAAAGGCAGGTTAGGCGGATTGTAGGTGGGTTCATAACGGTTTGGTTAGTTGGGTGCAATATAAGTATAATTTGTTTTCAATTCGTCTTATAAATGAATTAATTATTGCTTGTGCTTAAGACATAGAGTAAAAAAAAAATTATCAATTATAAATATATTTATATTTATACGTAAAATCAAATTAAAAACATATGAGAGAAAGAAATGAATTTAAACACCAATTATAGTAGAAATGAGCAGTTTGAAGTGGTGGTGGAAGACAACAATAGTTGTGGTGGGCGGCGTCGACCATGGTGATAGTGACAGTCGTGGGTGGTGACGATGATGGTGGTGGTTGTGATAGCTGAAGGTCATGGCGGTAATAATGATGGTGGGTGGGGGTGGGGGTGATGTTCATGGTGGTCAGTAGTGGTGGCGGTGACGATGATAGTGGGTGGGGGTGACACTGATGGTGGTTAGTAGTAGTGGTGGTGAGACGATGATGATGGTAACAGCAATGGAGTGGCGACGATGGTAATTGTGGCTGTGAGCAGTGACTAGCAACGACGAATGGTGGTGGGTGATGGACAGAGGTGATGATAGTGGGATGATGTTGATAGTAGTAATAAATATAAGAATGAGATAAGAGAGTCTATTTTCTCTATTAAATTTAGTGAGTTAATATTAGTAGTCATATTAACTTCAAAATAAAATTTAAAATGATCTCAATTGTGAAAAACAAAAATTATTTTTTATGTCTTCAATCTTTATACTTCATTATGTATATTATAATAAATTGGATCATAGTGGATTGAGTTAATCCCATTAACCAGTAAAATAATCACAAACTAACACACTCAAAAATAAACATAGACGTTAATACACAAACAACGTAGAAATACAAATATACCAAAACATACGTACTATTACTTCGAAATATTCTCATCTATAACGAAATCTGGGAGATGAAAAGGATTGGTGTCTCCGTTTATTTCAATTTCTCAGCAGGTAAGGCTGTTAATTTTCTTAGGATGTGCCTTCTTTCTCTTCATTTTCACTCTCATTTCCTGGTTCACTCACCTCCTTCTCGATTGATTCTTGCTTTATTTTCTTGGCCTTGGCTTCATTATTTTCATTCTCTTTCACATGGAGGAAACCAATCAGACCACTGAGAGCAGCACCGGGCTCGTCATACTTCAATAGCTGCTCGGCTACTTCCGCCGGAGTCGCCTCTACAGTTCGAATCAATTCCTCAATCCCTCCGAAAAGCTCATGCTGTTGGATACCGAGATAATTCGAAGCAAGAAGCTTGAATCCGCATGGGGTGCAATAAGACATGTGGATGTGCACATCCATTCGTCCCGGCCGCAACAACGCAGGGTCAAGCTTGTCTTTGTGATTTGTTGTAAAAATTATGATTCGCTCATCGCCACAACTTGACCATAGGCCATCAATAAAATTGAGAAAACCGGAGAGTGTCACCTATGACATTAAAATTATGTGAATATACAGCTTGTATAAGAATGATGTTCATAAGTATCGTAACAAATTTTCTCTCCCGGGTTGATTCCGATTTCTTGACAGTTTACTAATCGGAGATCCACGAAGAATCCAATGGTAGCCATGGATCATACGAACAAATAGGTTGACAAATCTGATTCAAGTAATGTATTTTTAGTCGATCAATATTAGGGGTGACAATTTATAACCCGACACGAAAACACAACTCGAATTCAACACGAAATTAGCGGGTTAGGGTTAATTATTTCTTAACATGAACCCATAAATGACACAACCCATAAATACAAATAATACATAAGTTGGATTAGTGTCAAACACGAAAAATATGAAATCGACATGATTAACACGTTTAACTAATATTATTGAAATAAAATACTAATTATTTGTTATTGTTTATTAAGTATTGACATAATTATTGTACAAAAAATACATTTTTATTCATTATTATTGTTGTGTTTATTAATTTAATTTTTATTTTATAGAAAAAACATGAGCATGAATTCAATTATTTGATAATAGAATCTTAAATTTAAATCATAATGTTAAGTTCTTTATTATGAGTCAACATAAACACGAACACCAATACGAAAATAAACAAGTCAATCAACAAATATGATTAGTTAAATAGATTGGATTAAGATTGACTAGTAGTCAACACAACTCGTAATGATTCGACATGATACCATTGGCACCCCTAATCAATATAACTAATTTGACTTGATTTACTTATCTAATATGCCACATATAATAGTCGTTATTAATCAAACATGATGCTAATAAAATGTAGAAACAAATTTTCTCTCCCGTCGTGATCTCATTGAGAATCCGATGATAGCCGTGGATTGCAACACTAAATTAAGTCAAAAAATTTGATTCAAGTTAATAATATTTTGTGCTGATCAATGTTACCACCTTCACCTAATCTACTTTTCTAATAATCCACACATGTCATTGAATCTTTTCTCAGATTGATACTCCTCAGTAATCCTATATGAATAGTAGATTAGATCTATGAAAGAGATCAACAAATTAAATGCTCTTAATGAGTGTGGGGGTTCCCTTATGAACCCGAAGAACAACTTTTCGGTGTTGTACATTTATTTTTTATTCAATAAAATTTTGACAAACAATCAAAACAATAATTTATTGACTCTCGACTAATTTCGGTACAATATCCACATTATTTTGTGGGTGTGATAGACTTATGTATGAGTCTGAAAGGATGACAATGGAAGTGGACAAATGCAGGGTGGCAAACTTGTACCCTAATAAGGAATTGGAAGATGAAGACTGCACGAAGCCATACGGGTCACAAGGGAGTCGAGAGTCGAGATAATCAAAGGTCCCATGTGAGTAGTGTGGACCTGTCTTTACCAACCCTAAAGATAGAAATTATACTAGTTCCCCACTAACAAATGGGAAATTTTTTATTTTTTTTTAGAGTGAGATCATTTTTGATATTTTTTTTTGACATATCATATATTCAAGTGAGATTCGTTGTATACAAATTGGTCTCTTACAATCTTACTCATTAATGATAAATAATGCACCAAGAAAAAAAATTGAAAAAGAAATATAATGAAGAAGATAGAATCCATTTTTCTTGGTCTTGAATGACTCCCTTGGTTGATTGGCATAGGGTCTCGACTCTTGTCATTAATTGGTTTGAAAAATACTCCAACCGTAATTTGGTCTTTTAGTACAGTAATGTTATGCTGATCAAATTTCGGGATTAAATTTATAATCCAAATGACATAACAACATATTATATGGAGTTTTAATTAGAGTCCAAATAACATGACACTAAATAATGAAGTCCAAATAATTGTTATGTCATTAACATTTCAAATTTGGTCAGTATAACATTACTACTTAGAGTATAGTATGGAATGAAGTCGAGCATTAATTCAATGACAATATATATATATATCTTTTATTTTATTGAGGGTCTTTATTACCTGGCAAAACTCTTCAGTTTGTCTCTTACCTTAATCTCTTATTCCACTGGGGCATTACTATTGATACTTAACCTGAGATTTTATTTGAAGACTTAAACCATTTCAATCATTAGATTAAGTGGTGGGTAAATTATTAGATTGAGTGGTGGATAAATTATGGAGGGAAGATCAGCTTTAGATGAGAAATATTATTTGTATTTAATTTAATAACCTTATTTTTTTACTTGATGGATCATAGTCATTGAATTGATAATAAATCTTAATTAATAGTGAAATTCATTATTAATTTAATGTCAAAAAATGATAAGATCAGTTTAGATTGATCGAAAGCAGCAAACCAAACAGTTGGAACGGTGATAAAAAATAATTGTACGAGAAGAACAGAAAAACACACAAAACAAAATTGAAACAACCAGAACAACTAACCTTGCTTTCTTCCTGACCATATAGTTCCGAATCCGTCTTCCGACCCGATCTATATTGCAAGTCAATGGTGCAGTCAATGTCTTCCACCACCAATATCGACCGACTCGCTGTCCCAAGGAGCAACTTCCTTAAATCCGAATTACGCCTCA